TGCAGGGTGAGGGTTGCTGCAGGGTGAGGGTTGCTGCAGGGTGAGGGTTGTTGCAGGGTGAGGGTTGCTGCAGGGTGAGGGTTGCTGCTCTAACGCTGCTCTTGTGGAAGTGCCCCCTGAAGTTCTCAAAACTTTACAGCAGATGTAACACTCCAGGACAGGGATGAATGTTCTGAGTCCGTGGATGCACCCGAGGCTGTGGCTGCCCCATCCCTGGGAGTGTCCAAGGCCAGGTTGGAGCAACCTGGGCTAGTGGGAGGTGGCCCTGTCCGTGGCAGGGGTGGGACAGGATGAGCTTTAAGGTCCCTTCCTCCCCAAGGCATTCTAGGATTTGATGGTTCTGTGAACATTCCTATTTCACTTCCCTTTCAAACCAACACACACATGGACATAAAGGACCTGCACACAGCCCTGGGCTGGGTCAGCCTGTCCTGGCCTTTGGACTGGGATCAAAGCTCGTGTGTCCAACAGCTCCTGGCACAGCAGGGCACTGCCCCCATCAAAGGTGCCTTTGTGCCCACCCAGGCCAAGGGAACTGGAGCTCTGCTCCTGGGATGACACTGGCTCATCAGCAGAAGGGAAGTTTGACACAAAAAAACCCTCTAAAAATAGAGAAGCTCTGGCAGAAGCAGCAGCCCCTCGGTGTGCAGCCAGCGTGCTGCCCTGACAGCTCTGGGACACCAGGGAGGGGGGACAGGGCTGTCCTGCAGGTGGGTGTCCTCCTCTCCCTTTACAGGCTTGATCCTAGAGTGGGATAAAACTGTCCTGGAGCCCTGAGGGTTGTTCATGCTCCTCCCTGGCTGCTGGGACAGGGATGACCAGGAGAACTGTGCACCAAGGGCATCCCACCCCTGCAGCATCCCACAAAAACAGGGGCTGGCAGAGGAAAAGAACAGAGAGAGGGACCATTCCAGGCCCTGCTCTCCTTGGGTTGAGTTGGACATGAGCCTCAGCCCTGGAATTAAGCAGGTAAAATGCTCCCCAGCTCTCCTGGCCCAGATTAGCAGGGATAACCCCCCCTCACACACGTGGCCACAGCAGCAGCTCTCCTGGAGGGCAGATGTCCCGGGCTCCAGGGAGACCTGGGGCCGAGCAAAGCAGGCTTCAGCCTCTCCCCAGGGCTCAGCCCTTTCAGTTCAGGGGCAAAACCCAAATGGGGCGACTTTCCTGCCCCATTTCACTGCTGTGCCTCTGCCTGTGGGGTGAGTGTGGAGAAAGAAGGCCCAGGCTGGGGAGAGCAGACAGTGCCCAGGCACAGCATGAACGGCCAAACCAGCCAGGAACTGAGAGAATTAGCAGGTGAATTCAGAGACATTAATCAAGGCAGGAAGGAAGAGCCCTGCAAGCACTCGGGGAGGGGGAAATGCTTCGGGGAATGAGCAAGCCACAAACCTGACCAGAGCAATGATGGGATGGAAATGAATCCCAGCTGCAAGGGAGAGATTCCCTCCCCACGAGGAGACCCTGCAGGTGCCAGTCCCAGGGGGCTGTGGTGGCTCCCCCACGTCCCACGGGGGTGATCCAAGGGGCTGGACCCACGTGGTGCAGGAGGAGGCACAGGTTTACATCCAAGACCAGTTTTCTTTTTGCTCCCCCCACGGTGGAGCTCGGGCACTTCGGGGGTGGCTTTGGGGGTTTCTTCCTTCACACAGGGATGTCCCGTTATCCCTGCTGTGCTTGGGGAGGGAGACACCTCGGCCTGGAGAGGGTGAGCACAGGATCATGGGGACCTGATCCAGGATGGACTCATCCCACCCTAGAGCTCCCCAAAAGCCTCTGTGCTCTGTCCTCCTGGGGATGCTCAGCAAAGGTGAGAAACAGCACAAAACTGTCCAATTAGTGTCCAATTTCTGGCAAAATTAGCGACCCAAAGCTGCTCTGTGCCCAGGGTTTTTGGGGTGCCTTCCCTGGAGGGTGGTCACATTCCCCCCCGTCATTGTGGATTTGGAAGTGATTATTTCTGGATTCAACCACTGCAGCTTTCACTGCAAAACCACAAATCCCAGGAGCAACTCAGACACCAGGAAGGTTCATCCCCAGAGTCAGGGCAGCTGCAAAGGTTTTATTCTTCAATTCTTTGCAGCTCTTCCTTTTTTCACCAAACGAGGCTTAAAAATTCCAGGAGATATTCCATTTATTCCTTAATGTGTTCTGGCTTTTTTGTTAGTTAGATTTTATACAAAACAGAAGTTTAAATTCTGGCGTTCTTAAGTGAAAAGATGAGAGGAAAACGACCTTAAGTTGAACTAGGAGAGGTTCAGATTAGATATTAGGAAAAAAAAATGTTCCCTGAAAGAGTGGTCAGGCATGGGAGTGAGTTCCAGGGATGTGGTGGAGTCACCACCAGCCCACTCCCAGTCTCTGGAAGTGTTCAGGAGGCATCTGGATGTGCCCTGGGGATGTGGTTTAAGGGGGATTATGGTGGTGCTGGGTTGATGGTTGGAGGTCTCTTCCAGCCTGGATGAGTCTGGGATTCTGGGATTTGTGAGGAAGCCAAGCCCAGGCTGGGGCTGATCCCTGCTGCCTTCAGCCTTTGGGAGTGGGAATTGTGTTCAGTGAGCACAGGGACACAGACACAGCAACATCCATGCACAGGGAGCTCCTGCCTGGGGTCCCTGCCCTCCAGATGAGCATCCCCTGCTCTCTGCACCCCCCAAATCTCAGGATTTTCTCCCTTCTCCAAAAGCAGCAGCGAATCCCCCATTCCCAGGCGCCTCCTCCCGCTGGTGGGTGACACCAGATGCTGTCCCTGCAGAGCTCAGCAGTGCTCAGGCAGAGCTGCAGGTCCAACCAGCCACTTTTGAGGCCCTTGGGGGACGTCAGGGTGGGTGACAGCCCAAACACACCCCGGCAGGGCAGAGCTGGAGCAGCCCTGGGCGTCAGAGGGCTCTGAGCTCATCACAGCCACCAGCAAAACCTCTCAGCTGCCTCTGGTAAAACCACCTAAAAATGCTGCTGCCTGGGCTTAGAGGGCCTTAAGTGCTGGGATAATCACGGGGTAGAGGCGTGAGGATGCGAGCAGACAGCTGGTGAGCTGAGAAAACAGACACGGCGCAGCCCGAGCCCTTGGCTGGGTATTTTTAGCCCCGCGGGGCTGCCAGGCACAGACTTGCTGAGAGCGGGTTTCTTGCCAGCAAAAACGTGCTTGTTCACCAGCCCTGCCCCCCTCCGCCCCGAAAATGATGCTTTCCCCCCACTTTTTGGGCTGGAAGCAGCGGTCACACGTGGAGAGGCTGGTTCCCAGCACAGGGGATGGAGAGCACGGGGAGGGGGTTTGCCCCCAAGCTGATGGTTTGCTCGGAGGGTTTTTTGCCCTCGAGCCGGTGGTTTGCTCGGCTCAGATCTGCCGGGAGTCACAGGGGAGGGGTTTTGCCCTCGAGCTGATGGTTTGCTGGGCACAGACCCGGGAGCCAGGCTGCCCGTGGGATGCTGGGTGCCAGGGAGCACCCTGGCTTTCCCCTCCCTACGAGGGTGAGAAGCACACCCAGCATTCACCCACCCCCCAGGGAGGACAGAGCCAGTGTTTTCCCTCTGAACAGCTTCACCCTCAGCTCAGCCCTGACAGGAGAAAGACAAACCCCTCCGTGGCTCTGTCAGCAGGATCATCGCCCCAGCAGGCAGCTGGCAAAGAGGGTTTCGGGCACACCTTGGAGGCAGAGGGATTGATCAGCCCCCAAAAACGTCACTTTGATCTTTTCCACTCCTGGAAAATCCTCATCAGCTGCCCAACCTGCTCCTGGAAGAGCAGCACAGTCAGAGGGGCAGAGCCCACACCAGCATCCCTTGCTTCCACATTGCCCTGCACCCAACCAGCCCCAGACGGGGTCCAGCACCCAGA